TTCTTTTCTAAAGAAAATAAAAAATGACCATTCGTATTCTTTCCAAGCCTCATAAAAGCGGCTTACAATATTAATATTAAAATATTATTATTGGAAAGCGTATGAGAACACAAAATGTTTTTGGATTTATTTTGCTAAAAATCTGAATTCTGAACGAAAGTGTGTGTGTGTATGTGTGTGCACATGTAGATGTATCAAATTGTGTATGTGTCTTTTGCAGCGCAACTCAAACGACTGAACCAAACAAAGCAATCTCTATTGGAAACTGTATCAAATTTAAGTTATAAATTCGTGCTCCGGGAAAACTATAATAATTGTGGACTAACAACGTCGCGATATGAGAGAGAGTAAATAGATTTTAAGATGCAGATTGAAGCAAGCGGAAGTGAATAATTGTTTAATTTAAAATCTAAATTCCATTTGCTGATTATGTTGTACATTGAATGCATTTAAAATCAATTTTCGTAAAAAGTTAAAAATATTAAACACTTTGTAACAAATACGCACTTTAACACGATTAATATAGTGATGACTTTTTGAAGAATTCTCATAAATTCTCAAGAATGTTGTCTTTTGGCAGATTCGTACGTTTTTAAAGATTTAAATGACAAAAACTAATCGAATAAGCATTCAAACAGAACAATGATAATTACATAAATATTGAATATTCCGAGAGTCGGCAGCATGTTGTGCGATTGACTTATGCGTTAATTAATGCGCGCTTGATTTACGTGCTAATTAACGCAATATCGAATCGGAGCGCTCATGTTTCTGCGGCTAATACTTCAGGTCAAAAGGCCAGTTACAGTTGATAGTCGCGAAACGATCGATCGTGAGTTCTTGGTTTTCTTATTTGGTTACGTCCACTTGTAAAAATACATATACAAAATCAATAAACAAACATATAAACCAATTTCTGAAAATATATTTGCGATATCGAAATCTCGATAGAGAAAGATGATAAGATCAATTTTTAATTTTAAGTAGGTCATTATAATTTAAGATTTCTATTTTGTGTATATAGTTTACAATTATCCTTCTCTCCCTCTTCTCCTTTTCCCGGTATCAGTTCCGGCTGAATAATCGAATAATTGCTAGGTAATTAGTGATGGAATTATGGCCAATGAAGGAATTAGGCGAGCCGCATAAATTCCGCAACCGATAAATAATCATTATAATTCCAGCTATTATTATCTCATTATGCGGACCACTTAAAAATGCACTAACAAAATGATCGATGCCTAGTATTCGATAATACTCGCAAAATGCGAAATGATCGGGTTATTTGAATTTCTAATTTAACGAGCCGACCGCGTGCACAAAGGGCTCGGGTATTAAATTCATATTGCGAATACGAGCGCATAACAAAGATTCCATAATTCCGCGTAGAATGATTTCGCGGCACGCGAGCATTTTTGAGGGGAAAATGAAGATGTATGACATGTTACGAGATACTTTCGAACTCGCATTATGTCACGGGGTAGGTTCATTTTTTGGTCGTTTTTGTTATCTCTTGGAGTTCCTCCAGAACATGACCGTAGGCAAGGTCTTGTTCCATTCTGGAAGTCCAAAGTGCTGAAGACGCGATAAGAGCTATCATCAACATTAATTCTCTTATATATCTCATATGTCATATATCTGTTTCTTTTTTATATATGTATGTTTTTATATATACATAATGCGTCTGTGTATAAAAAAGAGCGGGATTGACGCTATATATCAATTCAAACACTGATTGTATAATATACACCTATTTTTGTCAATTTGTCATGAAATTTATCTTTCAAATCTTTCCGGTTTTCACTCACAAATAATATATAATCCATAAATACATTTATTGGATCACAAAGTTTTTTTCATGCATGTTTCACCCATGCTACTATATTTCTTGGCTCAAGTCTACCACATATATTACAAAATATTGCCTAAAATTCCCATAAATAAGAAAAGCAGTGCCAAAGCAGTTTTCCCTCTTTCTTTTGCCATAACACATTACTCATCGATACCCTTTATATCACTTCCTTATCGTCTGATTTTTCGGACAGCTGCTATTTTCATCTTATATTTTACCTCAATATTTTCTCTCAAATTCTATTATATTTGTATTATATATTGTATTATATTTTGTCTCCAATTCTCAAATATAGAATCGTCAGTCTACTGTAGACAGAGATGTCGAATATATGTTGCTGTGTATATCTTATTGTTCTATTTCTTTTAAAAAATTGATCTCTCAATAATTTATTTACTTAACAATTTTCAGTTTCCAGCTGACATTATTTCTTTCAGATAATCTTATATATATAAAGCCAAAATCTAAAAAATCACATTATGATTTGAGAGTTTGCCCCAGAGAATTCGCTTCACTTATCTAAACAATATTGTCCATTCCTTGTTAAGGTAAACTCTATCCGGATCCTCTACTACGTTATTTCTACTTCGAGGAATCCTATTGGTAGCCAGACTATTGGCGACATGGATTTCGATTCTATTGGTGTGTACAATTCACCCCGTCTTTTCCATCAAGGAAAATAGGATCTTGTAGAAAAAAAAAGACATCCTTTCTCGCTATTTATTTTTATTTTTTTATTTTAAACGTCTTCGTACCTCTATGTAAGTCGCAAATTAAAATTACAAAATACAAATAATTTCAAAAAGATTAAAAATTAAAATTGAAATTGTATAGTTACATTTCTAAAGTTTTATTTAATAAAATATTTTTATTTATTAATCGCTTGTGCATTAAGCAATATAATTATCTGAATTATCTGATTGTGACAATTTTTCTCAATTAATTGCTTAGTACTTGAGAAAAGTGAAAATTGCTACAATCTTGTATATGTGATAAGTAGATATTTTACAAAATAATTGATGCATACAGTTTATATAAGCAAATATAATTTATGTATGCACAAATTAAACTTTGAAGCAAGAATGTGTCACACATCCTCTTCATTCAGTTCTTTTTTTTCTTTTTAAAATTTGCGTCACAAAATAATGTATTAATACACCCAAAGATTTAGATATTATGTATACGCATATAAATTATGAATCCTAATGTAGAGTATTTACAAGAAAATTTTATACATACGAATGAAACAAAAAGATGCTAAAATCTTCATTTACTTTAATTTATATATATATCTTGTATTTATATATCTGTATTTATATATCTTGTATTTTTATATGTCCAACAACTTAGAAGAAAAATATTGATAGATTTTTCTATTTAATTTAGTATTAGAGTTACTCTCTCCATCAAAAAATCGAAATTCAGAGAAATATAGAGAAAATATTTTATAAATATAAATTTTAAAAATATAATCAATTTGTTAAAAAAGAATATAATTAATTTGTTTAAATAAAAATCGTCATTTTTTCTTTTTAGCAGTATGTGTTATACAACTTCTTTCCTCGCACGCACCCTAAGAAAGACGACCACCTCCCACATCGACGAGATTAAAAAAGTTACGCGCGCAAAGGATTAACAAGCTTAAACCGTTTACTAAGAAAAGCAATGTTTCGCGGGTCAAACTTAAATAACTTAAGATAAAGAATAGACATATTGACATTGAAAAACTCTTTTCCTTGAAAATATTTACCGCGACGTGATGGAGATGTTTTTCTATGTCTGCATAGAAAGACGGAATCATTTTTTACCGGCTTTTTTACCAATATGTCTCGAAATATAGAACTTTGCATAAAAGAAACAATTATTCACTTTTCATTACAAATTAAAGCTAAGAGAGCTTTGAAAACTGAAGAAGATCACAAACTTTTTCAGAACTCGTTATTACGTAAAGTTATCACGTAAAAAGTTCCCGCAAGTTCTCTACATTTCGCGGCATTCATTAATTTTTTAATTAATTAACCACGACTCAAATAACAAAATTTTGTATTCAAAAAATAATTGTCAATTAACTATTTACAAATAAATTAAAGTTGTTTAAACGGAGTAAGATTTTTTCAGGATTTTTCAGTTCGTGAATAAAGAAATTAAGTTAAACGAGAAATGTAATTATTGTAGCTGTCCGCTAAAAATGAAAGTTTTCCCAAGAGGGGAAAACTTCGTCATACAAAAGCTACCCTACGGGCATTTGCAAGCATCATCTCGCAGACGAATATACGAATCCAAAAAGCAAAAGAGATCGCAAAAAGGCGAGTTGAAACAAGAAATACATTAAGCAAGCAGCAATGTCAACAGAGAGTGAAATATTATATGCATTATAATTCAATAATTGTAACAATGGCAACGCAAAATATTATTGTAGTAGTGTATTGGTGTAATATTTAATTATCTACCGCTATATATATACACACACGACAAGTTTATAATAATACGTGAATCATAGTACTATAATTACTGTTGTAGTTATACAAGTGGCGATTACTGTTGCTTGCTAAACTAATCGACTGACGTCAAGTGTACATGGTGTAATGTTGCCGCAGGCATTCGCAAACGTCCGCACCCGTTTTGTTATCGACTTGCTCAACTTCTTGTTCATACAATTACAGATTACGAAAACAATGTTGATGAGTCGTCAGATGCACACCAACTCCGCACTAGACGACGCAACTTTTTCGCAAAATTATGTAATTAAAGTTTAAATATTTTCCAATTAACTAGGAAGCGTACAATTGAATCTCAATTACTTCAATCAATACGCAACTGTTTTGCCAGATAAACTCAAGTTTGATATATCATCAAACTCTTGAATAATTTATAAACTGATGATATTCATGAACTAATCATTATTAATTATATTGGTTTTTCTACATCTACGTCGCGCAATCGATTGCATTTCATTTCTCAAATATTGTTCAGAATAATAATGCAAATATTGAATAATGTTTTTGCAGAAATTCTCTTCATGAGAATTTCATTTTATTTTATTTTATCGTATAACTGCTCGCAGAAATCGTTCAGATTCCTAATTCATCCATCTATCTGTTATTATTATTATTATTATAAAACAGCAATAAAGATAATATTGACTCACCCCGGCTGAATTGCTCGTAGCTGGCGATCACTCTCTCGGCGTTTTTCCTGGCGATGTAGAACCACTCGCTGCTGTTGCTCAGGTACTTGTACTGGTTCGCGAGGTCCTTCACGAGTACGCCATCCTGATTCGGCAGTCGGTGAGCGAACGGGCAGTACAGCCAGCGATCGCGATATTGCAACTTGTCGTAGCAATTGCCAGCAGCGAAGATATCCTCGTCGAATTCCACCATCGAAAGGACGCCCGCGTGCAGCAGAAACTCGGACGAGAGCATTACTTCCGGCGCGTACTTCCAGAGGCGAGTAAGCATGTTGGCGCGATTGACCGCAAATTCCGCTTCCAGTCGGAATCTCTCTTGTGCATATTGGTCCACCACACCCTCGCCCAGGTTCAGATCGGTGCCGGCGGTGCAATTCTCACCGAGAGTGTGCTGATTCTCGATGATGCGCAGGAAACGCGTCACTATGTCGACCTGGGCGGCTGGCGGCTTCCGACGCGCCGACGACCGATCGGATGTGGCGTTTGTCGGCTCCTCGTAACTCGTATAGTCCAGTACGTCCTGCAGGACTTCCTCGTCAAGATCGTGAGAGGATTCACTGGTGTTCTCGGTCGGATCAACGCCGAGCGTTTCGGTCGAGTTGCGATCGATCGCAGCCGGCGGAACAATTGTTTTATTCGAAAACATCGCCTTCCTCAATTTGTTCAGAGGGTTGTCCTTGAAGAGACTCTTTAGGGAATCGGGACTCGATCGTAGAATACCTTGATTATCCGGCTGGTGCGCTTTCGATGTGACATCAGAGTTTGTCTGCGTTTCGTCCTTGATATAATCGGATGATCGGTCGGAGCTGATCGTGTTATTCTTGAAGATATTCTGTTCGATCAGCCAGGAAAGATTACGCGCGAGAGGAATGATAGAACTTTCTTTGGCAACGCTTCCTTTTCTCGCCTGATACAACTTGAGCAAACTTTCCAGCCCCTCCGGAACATTATCCTCGATTCGATCGACAGATTGACCGTTGGTCGAATTATCTTTCGAGAAATTCTGCTCGAGAAGCCAGGAATGATTACGCTTGAGCGAGACAGATCCTTCCGAAAAATTGTTCGCTTTTTCCGTTTGACGTGACTTCTTTAAGTGATTTTCCCGATCGTCACGTACGCCGGCCTTGATCCTATTCACCGCGTCCTTCGCGTTATCCTTCGCGGGCTCCTCCATCTTCTGTCGCGCAAAATGGCTCCTGGACCGTCCGTGGCGGATTTGCGATCTCTCAACGCTCGACGCTTCCGCCTGCTCCATCTCCGTCCACGGGGTTTCCATCGGTCGGAACTCCGTCGGCGAAATTTCCTCCGCGGAACGATGATCTTCCGCTTGCGAACGCATATCCGTCGGATGGATTCTCAACAGACGTTTCTCCGCCGCGCGAACTTTCCCGGGGCCGAAGGCGATTTCCGCGGGAGAAATTTCCACCGAACGTATCGCCATGGCACGATGATTCCCCTGCGAATGCATTTCTGCTCGAACGGCGACGAGATTCTTCGCCGACGAGCGGATTTTCTCGGGACGATTTTCCGCGCGTTTTTCCAGACGATTCTCCGAATCAGCGGGACGAATCGGCATGACAATCGCGGAACGAATATCCATCGATTGGATTGGGCTCGCGGCGCGATTTCGCGGGATTATCGGACGGATCTCCGCACGACGATTCTCCTCCTCGATCCGCGCGCAAGCGATCTCGACGATCGCGGGACTATCGAGCGTTGAGTGGATCTCTGCGGCGCGAAATTCCACCGGCTGGTCGACAACGAGTTTGCGATCGACGTAGGTTGACGAGCGGTGGTTCTGCTGATGCCGCAAGTACTCCTTCGGCTTCTCGAGCTGGAGGAGCTTCTCGTAATGGCTGCCGAGGGAATCTTGCGTGAACGTGAGCAGGATGAGCGCGCACCAACAGCCTGACGCACTCATCTTCAGCCGCTCATCTTCTCGTTCGTAGCTTACGTCCGTTTGTTACGTCCACTCGTGATGATGCGTTATCTCAAGCTTAAACCTCGACATCTCTACGATGTGAGAAATCTTCGCTTGTAACAGTGACTGCTTATATAGTAATACACACAGCGTGCTTGAAACTTTAATGCACGATCATGTTTTTTGAAATCAAGTCGATTTGCACATCTTTACGCGTCAGCCACATTTTGCTTCAGCAACATACATACGTTTATACTACGATAGTTCTTGAGATCGATATATTTTCAACATTGTAATTTAATTATTATCCTCTTGCAGTTATTGTTTTTGCAGCCTCTGTTTTGAACATTTTATAACTTACTAAACATGTAGATTTTATCTATTCTAAAAGGATTCTTTATAGTAATTTTTATGTTTTCCTTGAATTTTATTCCGGTTCTTAACAGATCCCACCGCTGCGGGACAGTCCTTTAACATTCCCATTATCTTGCGTTTCTTCTTAATTCATGGCGCTCTGCGTCTTCACACAGTCTTGCATTTCTCCGGGATTTATGGTCCTTGATAGATCGTATCCCTTAATAGACCCGGTCTTTAATAGCCTCTCTCGCCATCTCCGCAATCAACTTATTTTCCGCTTGCAACTAGCACTATTTCAGTGTTGGTTTTTACACGTTTGTGATTGTACAAATAATGTTTTCAACGACGGCTGCTTGAAGTAAATCGTTCACGACCCATCTCGACAATGATCCGTTTTCGGGATGCGAATGCTCTCGAGATTAGACAATATGCAAAGTGTTTTTGTGCAAATCACCGATCGAGATCACTTTTTCTCCGTTTCGATAATCCTTATTTCTCGCGATTCTTTGCAATTTGATGAGTCGGAGTGAGTCGAGAAATCCAATCTAAACGCTGACGCATTATTAAACATGATCAAATATTAGCGAATATCGCGAAAAATGTTCAAAGAGCCTGTCATCAGTATCGAGAGAATTGATCGAACAATTGATTGATCTGTTAAAGCAATTTTTAGACTTGCACGACGTGATCATATCATAACGATCGATCGACAGTTTATCTATCATGTAATCGTCATATAAACACTATGCGGTCTTTGCGGTCTAAAACGATATCAAATGTTCCTTTATTGATTCCAATACTCGACTCGTCTCTTTAGTAGCATTTTCACACGTATTACATTATTTGACTATTGATTGAAATTTTCACTGATAATATCGTTCACGTCTTTTTCAGTCTTAATTTCATTTTAAAAAATCACATACGCCATCGTGGATTATTACACATTCACATTATCGTGTATTATTTCGCTGATCTATCGCAGCAAAAAGAATGCACAAAACATTCACGATGTATCGACAGTGTTTTAACGGAAAGTCGACACGTGATAAATTTATTTATAAGCATGCCTTGCCATTCAAGCACATTAACGATTAACAACAACGTAGATACTGCCTTTTATGCCTAATTATTAAAGAATATGCATATTTATGTTGTTTACTAAACAAGTATTCACTTATTTATTTGCTTATAGCCAAACTTGTAACGTATGATGTATGTATTCTGGTTAACTTTAAGCAACAAATATTCATTAAAAAATAATAAAATATTTTTTTCTTATAATTTTAATTGCAAGTTTTTCGTAATTTTCTATATCTCTGTTGTTATAATCGATAAAGTTTAAATGGAAAATGCGAATATGCAAATTATTATAACAATAAATTATTCAAATTAAATGTATCTTTAGTTGTATATACGATAATTTTCAAAACAAATATCAAAATACACATAACAATGTTTTATCGGATAACTTTATGATTTTATCGGAAAATGTATTGGCGAAATTGACGTCAAAAATTGCATACGATTCTACTTCTCATTAGCGAAAATGAAATCCTGATCGACATATTGTTTCGTAATTACGCAAATTAATAACTGCTTTGTGATACACACGACGCTTGAGCGCGACGTAATTGATTGCATTTTTTGATAAACGTTTTGAGGCTTTGTGGAATTTTATTCCTTTATCATAAGTGGCAAAATACTGGCGAAAATTTAATCTACACTGGAATATCGTTTTTAATCGGTCAAATTAATAATTATTTTAAAGAAGAGCTACTCAAGTTTTCTGCAATGCCAGACAATTAGTTTGATTTCTCGACAATTAGTGGTCTTCTCACAAACTTTTTTCCGCAGTTTTATGAATAAAAAGTAAAAAAAAACACAAACTGCAAAAATTCAAAATCGTTTATGTAAGACACGCATTTTAATTAATTTTAAACAACAAATAATTGTAAAAAATATAAATATTTTTTTTAATGATTTAAATTGTAAGTTTTCTGTATTTTCTGTATTATTGTTTAATCAGTTCATTATGGATAAAATTTATTGAAGAATGCGAGTATGCAAATGCAAATTGTTATAACAATCAATTACTTAAATGTATCACTAATTGTAAGTACAATAACTAAATATTAAATAAAATATCAAAATACTACGTACTAAAAAATAGCAAAATACTAAATTTTCAACTAAATATTAAATAAAATATCAAAATATAAATAGCAATATTTTATCATATTATTCTACAACCAATGAAATAAATAATTGATTCGACGAGAAATTTTTATAATTTTTGCACAAAAAATTACTTTTTTCTCTGTTGTCACATATTTTTGTTTTCATATAATATTCACTATCACATATTGTCGCTTTAAATTAAAAATTATTTTAAAATGCATATCCCATTATTAATCCAATTTTTTCGATTACAATATTTTGAATCATGTCGCGTATATTTTTTAATTGTACGCGAAAAACAAAATTCTCAAAAGATAAAAGCGGAAAAATAGCTATTTTGTAATAATCTCAATTAATCAGTAATATCGTGTTGCATTCTATTTAAATCTTTCGATTACATTAAATCCGTTATTAACTGTTTTCAAATAATTGTACGCAAATCGCTTATAATCGATCATCTATCATGAATATTCGAGATGCATAATCGAATTAACCGTACATCAAAGCAGTTGTCTCAATTGCACGAATCAAAACTGCCGATTTTGCATTTTCTTGTGTTTACTAAAACTGCATACAATCCACCTTATTACAGACTATGAATTTTTGACAATTTGTTATTTTATCACGCTTTCCAATCAATTAATAAAATCTAATTGTTCAATTTAATTAGATTGATGAATCAAATGCAGATTTGTTCTGTCAATGATGATCATTTTACTGAGTAATATCCTGGAAGAACAACGAACTTTCTCTCTCCTTCTTTCTGTCTTTTTTTTTCTCTCTCGCGAGTCGGCGATCGCGATGGATCTGTATGCGCTCGCACGCGGCGTCAAACTGAGGAGGGTTGAGAAACCCGCCACCCTTCGTGGCAAGCAATGTGTGAATGCAGAGCGCATGATCTACCCCCCTCTTATACTGATGCACCGAAGCTTTGTGCCGATATTCCCGTACATAACGCTTAGTTGGTAGATCTTAATCTTAATCTTTGGTACGCGCTATCTTTTCATTCTGTCTTTTGGTTTTTAGTGGAACATATGAATGAAATGGTGTCTCTTATTCATTGTATAACATAATACGAAAAAAAAATATAATATAATACATTCATACAGAGACATACATTGACCATACGTTTTTTGATCTGCAAAACTTTCGATTGATTCAAGTTTCGTTTTTATTCAAAATATAATAAAATACTATTTTTTGCAAATTAAAAAATTTTTAACATTAAATCTTTTGCCTTTAGTAATCCTAACACCCTAAATCTTGAAAAAAATTATGTTAAAGTAAAATCCACTTAAAATTAAATGCAAAGCTTTTCATATTTTCAATTTTCATAAAGTCTATTTCTAATTGTCTTAATAATTAATTGTTCATAACATTATTATAAATTAAAATTGACTAAAAATTAATCAATTACAGCAATATTATATGCCAAATGTATTATAATATATATCAATCAAATTTAGATACATATATATTCGCGCAAATATATAAATCGATAAATATAATAAGATAAGCAATAGACTTCTTGTTAAAGACAATAAAATATTAAGTAATGAGCTTAAAAACAACAAAAGAGTCAACGTGAAGAATATTTATAATTTGCTCACGGTATTATAAATAAGATATTAAAAGAATTAAAGAATTATAATATGAATTGAGATAAAGCTTAATTGCGCAAATAAATCGAGACAAAGCATCGAGAATTTATTAATGATAGTAAACGTTCTGAACTTACCAAGTAATCCGCGCCATTGGACAAACTTTCTAGATGAGATTTGAGAAAAGACTCTTTCTCCTTTTTGAACAAAATGCAGTGCCAATAAGCATGATCATGCGTTTGTATTTCTTGTAGAGAATACCGTTCGCACAAAGAAAAGTCAAAAGCGCTTCTTTTTCTTCTTCTTTTTTTTTTATTTTAGCACCGGATGCACGGAGCGTCTTGTCCGTACGACCATTATAGTTAAAAATGCAATTCATCACGTTTGAGAGTTTATAGTAACACGATCTAGCGGTAGAGAGCTCTAACCTATTAAACCCAATTAGTTACTTTTGTTTTATTTACAAACGGTGAAGTAGGTTTCTTTTTTTTCATGTTATCAGCATTGAACTGATAACATACCGATGGATAACATGCTGTAAATAGTGTATTATGTGTTTAATAAGATGACGTTGTAAGAATACACGTACAGTGTCTTCTCACTATGTATTACACTTCATCTCGTCTCAATCGTTTTACATGCTTGCGTTGCTCGTAATTACTGGTACCAATGGCACTTGCATTTATGACATTCTGATTTACGTTATACAGTAAATGATTAATAAGCGTAAAAAAATCTAAGAAAAACTGATCGTGACGTAAAAGGGTTTACAAGGTGATACTCTTTTCTTTTGTCAACTTTGTTTTAATTAAACTCCAATTTGTTTCTTTGATATTAAATAATTCTGACTCTTAAATTACATTAAACAATTTTGGATGCTACGTTTCTAATAAAATTATTTTTTTATAGGATACTGAAGTAATGATTTCACTGAAAAGTGAAATCTGATGATTAAGGATGGAACATATAAGGCAAATAATATCTATATTGTTTGTTCTATCATTGCTGCATTACACAAAGTCAGCTTATTTCGGAGATGCGTTCTCTCAGCAAGCTGACGAGCCTTCCAGAATCAGCTGGCTCTTTTCTGATGCCTCTCTTACAGCAGGTGCAAAAAGGCTTCAAAGAGCTATATTAGATTTTAGAAGAGAACCTGAGAATGATGGTTTACCAAGAATTATAAACAGCAAGTGCCGTGCTAAATTGTATAATCTTTGCGGGAATATAGATAAAAATAACAATGATGAACTTACGTTGCTTGAGTGTATTCAGACTTTTAAGGTATGTGTGAATTTATGAAAAGAAATAAATAGTATTAATATAAAAGAGACCTAATAACTATCTTAAATTTTATAGCCCACTGAGATATCTGGAATTGATCAGAAATGTCAAGAGGCAATTTGGATCTACATTCAGAATATTACAGACAATCAAAACATAGAGAGACTTGCAAGAAAGGCATGCGGCAACCAGCTAGATAGTCTAAAATGTTCTAGCCCTGATAAAGCTCATGGAGCATATCTATCTTGTCTAATCGATAATCGAGAAATGGTCAGAGATCCTGACTGCATCATTTATATTCAAAGATTGGAATGGATTGCTTTTAGTGACTTCAGAATTCTGACTCCCTTCAAAACAGACTGTGCAAACGATATTAAGAAATTCAAGTGCGACAGTCTACAGCCATATAGAGACATATCGCAAGGTCAGATATTAGCTTGCTTACAGGAGCATGTTGAGCAACTGCAGCACGAATGTAGAAGACATATTTTACATGTATCTGAGATTCAAGCTGAAAACATCAGGCTGGACCGTCAACTGTACATGGCATGTATTGATGATAGCAGAAAATTTTGCCCTGACATTCGACCAGGCAGTGGTCAAGTTTATAAGTGTTTGATGCAGCATAAAACCGATAGGTAGATATTTATATATTAAATATAAAATATTGCAATGCTAATCTAACTCCTAAACTTTAGAAATTATTGATTTAAGAGTTTCAGAAACTAAATACAATAAGTATTCATAATCTAAGGGATCTAGTAATCTTGTCTGGAGATTCTGTTCCTTTATACTTAAAACTTATTTCTATCGACAGATCAATGACCGCGCGATGCCAGGAACAGTTAACAAGAAGAGAGAAACTAATTGCATCTGATTACAAGATTAGTAAAGGTCTAGTCAAAGCATGTAAAGAAGATATTAGAAATAATCACTGCAGGCGATCTGTGTCTGAAGACAAGGAGATTAGGCTGGCACAGATTTTACTTTGTCTAGAATCGGCTGTGAAAAATGGCAGCAAAATTGATGGAAATTGTCAAGCGGAAATGTTTGATCACAGGAAACTTTTGATGGAAGATTACAGATTGTCACCCGAAATCGTAGACGGCTGTGCCAACGATATTACAACTTTTTGCAACAGTCTTGAGGTCGGTGGTGCTACAATACATTGTCTGATGGAGCATACAAGAACGAGAAAGAAGAAGTCGAGGGTTTCGCCGAAATGCCAAAGAGCGGTAAAAAATTTATAGAAAAAAATTAATTTTAAGATCAATTAATGATCAAAACTTCTAAAACAAAGCTAATTTATTTATCTGCTATTTCTAATATTTCCCCAAGGATATTATATTGACAAAATGTCCTTTTTACAATGTTCTTTTAAAATATTTAAAATTATGTGATTTTAGTTGGAGGAGTTAATTTTAGAAGCTGATGCTGGCGAAGATTGGAGAATTGACCCGGTTTTAAGGGAACAATGTCAACCTGTAGTTAATTTAGCTTGTAGAGATGTAAGTAATCTTTATACATATAAAGATTTAAAGCTACTTTTTTTTATCGGAACTTATTGTTAATATCGCGATTCAGAACTATACTAAATAAAAAATTCATTAATATTTTGTATCAATTTCATATATACATTCTTGTACATTTAATTTAGGTACATGGCGGAGATGCTAGAGTGATATCGTGTCTGATGGAGCAATTGGGAACAGATAGAATGACCGAAGCCTGTGAGACAGCATTAGTACAGATACAATACTTTATCGCCAGAGATTTTAAACTCGATCCGCAATTATACAAGGCGTGCAAGTATGATGCTGTACGTTTGTGTCATGCGAGAAATGCATGGGCCAGTGATGGAAGACAGATGGATCCCGAAACAGGACCTCTCGTGTTACCATGTTTATATCGGCATGCTTACCAAAAAAATATGACAGTAAGATTAAATACATACACACATAATTAACTTTTTATTAAATTAATTTAATAATGATACTTTAAAGTATAATAATTTATTATTATGACTCTTACGAACAAAACTTCTTTATATATATATATATTTCTGATTGTTTTTCCTGTTTTTTAGTTAAAAGCAGACTGTTTAGAAGAGATTAGAAGAGTCATGAGACAGCGTGCCGTCAACGTTGATTTGCAACCCGAGATAGAAGAAGTGTGCTTTAATGAACTGGCGTCACTTTGCTACGATAAAACTGCAAAAGGAGAAGAAATTCTTTGTCTGCAGGATAATTTAGACAAGTACGCATTGTTTTAAATGGAATAATAATAATGGAAAAATTATCTCATTTGTTAAATGTTCAATTGTTATTTATTAAAAGTTATCTCTCACGTAATATTTCTGCGCGATTTTAACAATATTTTTTCCAAAATTTTCTAAAGTTTAAAAATTATTTTTATATTGAATTATCTTTATTAAATATAAAAATTAATTAATTTTTTAAATCGAATTTATCTGAATTACAGCTTAAACAAAAAATGCAAGCTAGCAGTTGGAAATTTTACTGAGGAACAAGCGGAACGTGTTGAGCTGAATCCTATCATCTCTTCTGCATGTCAGCATATTATGGAACGTCATTGCGAAGTATATATTAAATTATTTACATTTGCTTTAATACTGATTTAGAAATATGTTGATTTCATTTATTGTCAATGATGTTTGTTTATTTACAGGAGGTTTTAAAATATGGAAAGGATGAAGGAAATATGATGGAGTGTCTTATTGAACATAAAAACGAACTGGACGCACGTACCGATTACAAATGCAAAGCAGCAGTGGAACATTTCCAGTTGATATCCTTGAAGAATTACCATTTTACGTACAAGTTCAAGGAAGCGTGCAGGCCTTATGTTAAGAGATGGTGCCCTAAGTAATTAAATCTCTCGGCATAAAAAATTTTCGAATTTTTTAATACTTTAAATATATATAATAGTTGACTATGTGTTTAGATCGAAAACGAAAGCCGATGTGATAGAATGCTTAAGCTCGATCGTGCAGGAGGATATAATGAAGGAATCTCAGCATCGCGTATTAAAGGACTGTAGGCAACAGTTACGGGCACAGCTTTATCAGCAGAGAGAAAACATCCATTTTGATCCAGTTCTGCAAGCAACTTGCTCAATGGACATCAAACAGTTTTGCTTTAACATAGAACCAGGCAATTCACAGGTAGCGACAATGTTCTCTAATATATAATAGAATGATCATTTTTTCCCTTCCTTTACATTGTATATTATAGTTTGGATAGTTTTACTTCGACATGTGGTTATTTCCTTTATATTGAATATCCAATCACACAATTATTATTTTTTATCCTATAAAAACTTAAATAATAATAATTAATCTCCTTTTTAAGCCGACAATTTTAATTGAATGATTACTTTAAACAAATTTTAATATTACGATAAACGTTGTTGACATCTAGATTATTATAGGTATTAGAATGCTTAGCATCGCACAAATCTAAACTATCGGATATGTGCCACAAGCAGCTGTTCAAGGTGAGGAAACAGGAATTTCAGGATAGCTCCAGTGATGTGCCTCTGCTGAGCACTTGTCGAGTCATGATCAGGCAGTATTGTCACGATGTGAGCAAATCACAAACTTTAGATTGCCTTAAGAGATACAAAGATGAACTCACTTTCGACGAGAAGTGTAAGAATATTGTGATTCGAAGAATGATTGAGCAGAATACGGATTATAGATTCAATACCGCACTGCAAAGCGCATGTGGTCACGATATCGATAAGCATTGTAAAGAGGTAAGAGAAAATCTATGAACAATTTAGTTGAGATAAATTTTTCTTAAAAATTTTTCTCTGCAAGAGGTTTTTCTTTAATAATTAATTAATAAATACGTGTTAGGTTTTGGTACATGAACATACCGACAAAGAACTTGAAGGAAAGGTCATAAGATGTTTGAAGATTAGATTTCGGGAATCAAAATTGACGACAAAATGCGAACATCAAATGGCTAACATCCTTAGAGAAGCTGCACTGAATTATCACTTAAACCCGTTATTAGCAACAATGTGCGCGCATGAGGTAAAAAACAATACAAGTGCAACTTATAATTAACTTAAAAAATTCAAAGATTTAAGATTTTAGTCACTGGAGTAAAATCTTGACACAAGATCATGTAGCTACAGAATTGAATTTCATGTAATCTAATATAAATTTATATATTTCTGTTAGATTGAAACAATCTGCCGATCAGATGAAAATGAGCCTGGCGCCGTTGAAGAGTGTCTTAAAAGGAAATTTAACGCCGGAAATCGAGACATGAAGGAAGAATGTCGTTTGGAAATCGCCGATCTAATAGAACAAACAAGGGCTGATATAAACGTGGATCCCTTGCTGCAGAAAGCTTGTGCAGTAGATGTCAGCAAATACTGCAGTGCTGTACCTCAAGGCGCAGGAAGACGTAAGTAATGTTTTTGTTTTTAATTAATAACCATAGAATAAGATTACAAAATTACTTGGCTAAAAAATGTTAATATTTCTAATTATTATAATAAATTAGTATATACACACACACATATATATATATATAT